CCATTTGACTCTTAGCCGTCTGCTCAAGTTTCGAGATGCTTCGCGCATCTTTGAGCACAGCTCCCGGAACCCAATTGAGTCATTGAGTCCTCTATGTTTAGGGTTTAGGGTTTAGGGTTTACAGTGCGAGCGTTGGTTAAGAATGTGCAAGGGTCTGGTCAGGGGGGGCTCAGATTCTTAACTAGAGAACGACTTGTTCAGTGTGCATTTTGATGTTCTTCCGGCTTCAGGGGGGGGCTCAGATTCTTAGCACATTCTTAAGTGTCATTCGAGCCAGCATCGTTACGACTTAAGGAAGACGCTGTAGCCACTAGCCCGCATTCTTTCACACATAACTCTGCTGCAGGGGCTCAGATTCTTAACTTGGAGGTTTCTGAGGGCGACCGCTTGTGTACAGCCTATGCAAGCTCAGAATCTAAGGGGCTCAGACTCTTAATTTGGAAGTTTTTGAGTTTGTGCACAGCTTTCGCAAGCTAAGAATCTGAGGGGCTGAGATTCTTAGCGAGCTAAGAATCTGAGCCCCTCAGATTCTTAATTTGGAGGTTTCTGGGGTCTGAACTCAATCCCTTTCAGGTAATGCAGTCCTGAAACGCCTGAACCCTCAACCCCGAAACTGCTACAAGAAGGGGGCGCGCGAACAGGCAGGGGCCTGTTGCTTGAGCTTTTTTCTGATTGTTTGGGGCCAAAGCTTCACAAGCTAAGAATCTGAGGGGCTCAAGTTCTTAGTTGGGGGTTTCTGTGATTTGGGCCTGCTTGAGCAAAAGATTACAAGCTAAGAATCTGAGGGGCTCAGATTCTTAATTCGGGGTTTTCTTTTGGCGCCTGCTTGTGTAAAAGCGTTACAAGCTAAGAATCTGAGGGGCTCAGATTCTTAGTTCGGGGTTTTTCCTTTGGCAGCTGCTTGTGTAAAAGCTTTACAAGCTACTGGGGGGGGGGGGGGGATTATCTCACATCGCGTGGTGTAAATACACATCGTTCGGCGTCCACACTGGGGTCTTGCAGGTCCCGCACAGGACCCGGCACTGATCCTAGCCGTCCAGTTTTCAGCCTATGCAGCGTCCACAATGGGGTCTGGCATGCAAACCACCCCATGCCCATGGTCGGAGGAAGCGCCTGCGTCAAATCTCCACATTGGGTTTGCATTTTGGACAAGACTTGGCACTGATCCAAGCTGCCACCACGGCTTCAAGTTTGTTTAAGGCAGTTGGCAGGACGTTTCCGTGCTAGCTGGTCTAATGCACTTTTTCTATATCAAAACCGGTCTCGGTCGCAGGGTTTGGTCGCCAGACACATGCAGCAGGCAGCAGGCAGGCAGTGTGCATTTGAGCAGCTGCAGGTCTCAGGTGTGTAAGGCCAGTAAAGGCTTCGAAGATCAACGTTCCGTATGTTGACACAAACCGAGCGTCTCCTTCGGCATTTGCTGCCAAAACGTATGCCAGATTGATGTAAAAATGGCCCGAAACATAAGCGTCCGCGAGGTCGGGTGGATTTTGAGGTCTCCGTGGCTGACAGCCAAAAATAGCGTCCACATTGGGGTTTCGTATCTTGTGATGTGTATTCTCTCGCGTGATGGGTAATTCTTTGCATGAGCGTCCACATTGGGGTGATGTGTATTTTCACGTCCTGATGTGTGATAACCCCCTCCCTTGTAAGAATCTGAGGGGCTCAGATTCTTAATTCGGATTTTTCCTTCGGCATCTGAGGGGCTCGGTTCTTAACTGGAGGTCTGTGATTTGTTTGCCAAAGCTTACAAGCTAAGAACCTGAGGGGCTCAGATTCTTAATTCCTTGTGGTTAAAGCTTTACAACCTAAGATTTTCGAGTTGTCGTGAGTGGAAAGTCCCAATGACAAGCGAAAAAAACAACTGGATTAAGAATGTGCCCTCAGATTTCAGGGGGGGCTCAAATTCTTAAGTCAAAGGCACCCATTAAGGGGCGGAAACAATCCAATGCATAAGAAATTTCAGCCCCTCAAATTCTTAAGCAAGGAATTCTTAAGCAATACTCCCGCTGTAGGGTTTAGGGTATACACTCTCGGCACTTGCACCAGAAGCATGGACTGCGCATTTCATTCGTCACACGAACACTTACTAGAACCAGAACGCCGCGATGTTCAGGTCCGTGGAAGTACAGGGGAAAGTCGAACAGTTTCCACGTCAAGAATTCTCACATTGCGAATAATCATAGAATTCATAATTATAGTGGAACAAATTCCTGAGGTTATAAGATAGTCATCTACGAGGAAGTTACTAACATCTGTTCAGAATGGTTTATGTAGGTATCCGAAGGGGACGTGTGGAGTCTGTGCTTGTTTCTGTGAGTCGATAGACTTGTCTGGCTGGCCTTTTCAGCAGTTTCCATGGTTTCAGCGCCTGGCCTGCCGCGCAGCAACAAAAGTAACAAAGCAGCATTATATGCGGTGGTTTAGGGTTGAGGGTTTACGGTTTATAGGGTTAAGAGCTCAATGTGTGCAGAGCATCGCCCATCGGGGCATGGCTACGGGCCTCGACGGTTGGTGCACGTGACCTACTCAACCCGTCAAACACATTCATCCAAACCTTACTGGGTTGCCGATTACTGGTTGGTCGTCTTTCACCAGCTTCAGAAGTGTGCCGCAGACGATCTGCATCCAAGAGTTTTTTGGTTCTCAGCAAGAACGGGTAGTGGCGACGCGCGCCATGAGAGTATTCGGATTGCTCCTCTACTCTTACCTGTACCTCATATCGTTATGATGTTATTATCATACTAGATTATGATATATGGCATTCTTCGTTATTTATGATATGCTATTCACATGCATACAAATATATACATAGCTATATATATATATATATTTATTTGCTTTACACAGTACCGCATCGAGCCGCCATCCCAGCATAGCCTTGACAGATGCCTCTACCGAGCAACCCTTAAGGCATGGAACCCTCGAGATTGCGTACCACACCATTCAGATTCATTTAGGGTTTAGGGTTTAGGGTTTAGGGTTTAGGGTTTAGGGATGGACGACACTTCCAGGCGGATACTGTTGCAAAAGGGTTTGGACGGTAGTCAGCGAGGGTTTCACCAAGCTGAAGCAGTCTCCGAGAGCTTTGAGAAGATGAAGCCGTGCTGGAGGCCGGTTCGCCGGATGGCGCGACAGGGCTATCTAGGGTTATGCTATATCCGTTATAGCGGTTTGCGATGCATTTCGCTTGAACACTTTGTCTCTCGCCTGTCTGAGAGGGAGATGGTCTTCAGGATGTTCCTTTGCAATCCTTTGCGATGTTCGACGCTCAAGCATGCTGTCGGAAGCGCAAGCCTCAAACCATCCGAGACCAGTCAGATGGGTTCCAAGTACTCGTAGTTAAATATTTCGCGTTCCACATCCCAGAATTCGCCTCGCATGCAGCTTGCGCACATAGAAGCTCGACAACAGGACTGTTGCATTAAACATGTCAGTGGAAGCAGAGTGGTAGCGCTCAATTCGGACCCGCAGCCCTATACCCTAAACCCTAAACCCTATATAAACCCTAAACCCTAAGAAAGCCCAGCCAGGGCATCAGTCCACCAGCGGGGACCTTTGAGAAGGCCCTCCTGGAGTGCCCTCATGACTGCGAGACATGTGCCGGTTTAGGGTTTAGGGTTTGGGGTTTGGGGTTTAGGGTTTAGGATTTAGTTTTTTTTTTTTTTTTTTTGGGGGGGGGGGGGGTTATAGTAGTATAACTTGAAATGAAAGAGACCATAAGGGAACACTTTTAGTAATTCTTCCGACCCCTAAAGAATACAGCGTGAGTAAACCCTAAACCCTAAACCTGTAACGGCCAGTATGTTCCCTGCAGTGCGTCCGAGATTGGTCAATTAGGCGGGTGCCCTGAACCCGAAACCCTAAACTATAAACCCTAAACCCTAAACCTTAGGTTGTTCGTTGCTTCGTTGCTTGGACGATCTGAAGAACCTGCACCGCAGCCGAGATTCAATTGAATTCAGCAGTGCTGTGCCAAAGCGACACGGCGGCAGTCAGTTGCATGCCTACTATAATCGTAATGCGTAAACAATGAATGTATTATCATTCAGCATATAGTGTAGTATACAGCTAGCTCATGATATCCAACCTAATATACAAGAATATAATGACTAGGTCATAGAAGAAAACAAGGCAAAGAAAGACACTGCAATGACTACGCCAAGCGTGTTCTAGCAATGTGCCGCGCCGAAGCTTGCTGCCGCTGCCTTGGGTTCGGTGCATGCCCAGGGAGCTTCTCTGTGGGCTACACCAAACCCTGAACCCGAAACCCTGAACCCTAAACCCTCAACCCTAAGCCCCAAGCCCTAAACCCCAAACCCTAAACCCTAAACCGGTCTGCGCCCCAGTCGAACGAGGAGTGTGAGATTCCCCAAAGAGTGCGAAGAACACCTGCTTTGGGGTTCCCATGCTCAAGTATCGTCTTTTGGGGTACGTGACGGGTGCCCCGATTTTGGAGAGGTGTATCCCGATGTGCAAAATTTTCTAGGGGTTGCAGTTGAGGGCTTTATGGAGTTCTTAGGGCCGGCTGCTCGGGATCTTGGGCTTTGGGGTGTCACGAGGACCTCCACCCTCCGCTACTTATTGGCTTGCAGGCGCGCTGTACATAGCTGCGCAAGGACGCATTAGAAGTTCCGAGGAAAGACGCAGCCAGGAGCTGCCATGGAGCCAGCGGTTGTCGGGGCATCGTCTGGTAGCGAGGCCGACGCCCGAATGAAGAGAACCCTGGACGATTTAGTGAGCAAGATGTCAACTATGGAGTTGAGCCGCCCGGAGGTGTTGCGGTGCACCTATGCCTTCCAGGCGATTCGAGCACTGGCCGTGGCTGAAAAGATTCAGAGCTTTGATGCAGGGGCCCTGTACGCCTGGAGCCTGGGCGGCCCAGTGGTACCCCTTGACCTTCAAAAGAAGCAACCAACCGAGAAAACGTACCCTAAACCCTAAACCTAAACCCCAAACCCTAAACCCTAAACCCAAAGAAAAGGGTGCCCCCTTGTCATAAGTATGCTTACTGAAACTAACAAGGAGCCGGCAGACGACAAGCATCTCTGAATTCTGGACACACTCCTGGCATGGCAGCAAGCGGGCAAAGATCTGCTTCTTTATCATAGTGGGGTAACATTTTTTCATTTTTAAGGGTACTTAAACTCAATAACGAATAAAATTTCAAAATTTTAACATTTTACATTTTTAAGGGTACTTAAACTCAATAAGGAATAAAATTTTAGAATTTTATTACTATCCCAACTATGAACCAGGCTTGTTGCTAGTTGCCAACAACGGCTTGGTAGCTATTTGCCTTGGCAGTTGTGCGGCAGTATTGTTGTCTCTGGTCCTGTGGGCAGTACGAGGGCCTTCAGGCGCCACAGAAGAGACGATGCCTACACTGCAGGGGCAGTATCATGCCATCATTTCATCGACCAGAATGGAGGGACTTGCAAGCAGCTTACTTGGATTACTTGTCACAAGCGCGTGCTTGCTTCTTTGGAGGCGGAGCACACCCGTCTTCCTCGACCGCGTGTGTGTTCACCAGACAGATACGCAGTTAAAGTTGGCAGGTCTTGTCAGCATGGGCGCGATTCTACAGAAGTCCAATGTGCTGACGGTCTGTTGGGACGTGACATATTCCACACGATTCTTGTTCCGTTGTTAGCAGATGTTACGTAGAATGCTTGCAAGATAACAGGCATTTGCTTGTATTCATGGTCGGCTACTTGGAGGTTCATGGGTAGCTATAAGTAGGGTTATGAGTATGGTGATGATACTTATACACCCAACTTAGAGTACTTATAGCCCCACAACCGTACTTACAAGTACCTATGAACCCCCAAGTAGGCACTCCTAAACCCCAAACCCCAAACCCCAAACCCCACACCCCAAACCCCAAACCCTAAACCCTAAACCCTAAACCCTAACACTGTTGAACCTAGGACTCTGGTGCTTGTTTGAGCTTGCCGCGTTTCTGAAGAGTCACGGGAGGCAAGCCAAGGTGGTGGTGCGACCTGCGGTTTCTTGGGGGCCCAAAGGGTTTAGGGTTTTGGGTTTTGGGTTTAGGGTTTGGGGTTTAGGGTTATAGGGTGAAGCCTAAGATTGGAGTCTTCCACCCTATACTACAAGAAAAATCCTATGAAGGTCACATGAACACTCTAAACTCAAACCCTCTTCGGGTTCATGTGGTCCCCCTAGGTTCTGGGCCCCGTGACGATCGGAATATTTGCTGGCTTTGAGTTCGCAGTCGTCGCCCTGCTTCTGCTACCCAGAGCGGGAGATCAGGCCCTCTTTAGGGTTTAGGGTTTAGGGTTTAGGGTTTAGGGTCTTGGTGACCAAAGAAGCCCTAAACTTGGGGGCCATCTACCCCCTAAAACCACCCGAAATTCTTCTTAAGGTGTACGGAACCCTAAACCCTAGCCCTAAACCCTAAACCCTTTTTTGAGAATCATGGTGGTTCCCCCAAGGCAGGGACCATACTGGCCAGAATTGCCTTGATCCTGGTGGCGTCTGTTGCTGCCTTTTGGTGTCCGCTGTCGGCGCTCCGCAGCTTCTACCGCCCCCTGGAAGCCCAGTGGTGCCCTTTTCCCCCTTTTTTTGGTTCCGGGTCCCCTTATTAAAGTAACTAACCCCCTTTTTTTTTTTTTGGTTACGGGTTCCCTTATTAAAGTAACTATAGCCCCCAAAAAAGGGTACCCTCATTTTCGTATTACTGGGCTAGCAAGGCTCAATCGATACAATGGAAGCGCAGCTGCGTCAGTTTCGACTGGACATAGGGCTTACACGAAAAGCAGAGTTTAGGGTTTAGGGTTTAGGGCTTAGCATAGGACATTGCGCTGGGTCTGATCAAGCAGGTTTCAGGAAGCATGTGGGTATGGCACATGGGGATCTTTTAGGAACCCAACATGCCAGGACAACGCCACTTGCCATTGCTGCACTATTGGCCATGTAAAACCAGATGGCCGGGTGACGTTGTGTGATCGTCAGGTCATTGAGCGATGCCTCTTGCACTGGTTCGGTTCCGTGGAGAGCTTTGAGGAATGCGTGCAGACGACCGTGTCAAAGGCGCTCGCACGGCAGCTTGGCCAATTTTCGTTTCCCATCTCATGGATGTTCGGCTGCTCCTGCCCGCTGCTGTGGACCTTTGCGACCTCAGCCATCCGGCAGCCTTTTGTCGGGACGTTCTTCATCCTGGCCTGGAGCTGTGCAATTCCTGCGATCTTTATGATTGGCGCTTCGGCCGCCTATAAGCTGCGCGGACAGTTTTCAAGCAGATGGCTAGACGGGGCTGCAACCCTAGCATGCGTGCTGGCGTGCGCACTCAGCTACATGTGCATGGAGACGCTCGCAGCCTTACTCTCCAATACACACCTGACATATTGGCAGAGTGTTGCGGCATTTGCCTTGCTGATGGCTCTTATCACGCTATGTATTTGGTGCTGCTGGTCAAAGGCCGCTTGCCGGAGGAAGCATTTGCAGAAACAGCTGGGAAACAATGCCATGTCTGTATAGGGATTCATCTAGGACTCTAGGACCCAGAGGAGGCCCTTAGTTCCTTTTTTTAAGGTTCCCTTATAAGCCCCTTTTAACCAAAAAGGGCACCCTTGTTATTCCTAGGCTACTTCTGGGTCCATGACTAGACTGGCTTTGTCGGTCGTGCAATTGTCACAGTGCTTGCTTAGTCGGAGCACTGCACTTGCTCAAAGCAAAGCAGTGCTCCGCGTGTTGTGCTGGTGTACCGTATGTACAGCTGCATCAGCCGAGCTTCTTCCATGTAGGCAGAAGCTCACGCAACCACACTCGCAGCAAGCACAGTGCCAAAACTTAAGGGCTGGCGCAGGGGGCGGGCACGGCCACAAGGGCAATCCAAAAGACCCTCTACCCTACCCTGAACAAAAAGACCCTAAACCCCTAATAAACCCTTAATAAACCCTAAACTAAACCCTTAAGAAACCCTTAATAAACCCTTAAGAAACCCTTAATAAACCCTAACTAAACCCTAAACTAAACCCTAAAACCCTACTTCCGCACCTCAAGCCCCTCGCCCTGGAGCTGCGACTTAAGGCCTCAGTCGATGAATTCTTGGAGGCACCTCCGAAAGCATGGTTTAGGGTTTAGGGTTTAGGGTTTAGGGTTTAGGGTGTTTGACTCTGAGGGCATCGGAAAGTCTGTACACTTCATGGCTTGATGGTCAGGGTTTAGGGTTTAGGGTTGTTCCGAAATTTGAAGGCATCTGAACGTCTGCACACTTCATGGCTTGGTTGCCACTCGAGACTGAGTTGTTGATGCTTGTCCTTGTTCCGAAAGTCGTGCCGCAATAGCGACAAAATTGCAACCGCACTAAATAAGATAAAAGAATATACCTGAAGTCATATATGGGCCCTGATTATGACTTAAGGTACATTGCTTGGGCTTTCCGGGTCTACGTGGCCTGGCAAAACAAAACGCTCTGGAATCCTGATAAAGGGCGGCCCCGAATGAAGGGTTCATTGTAAGACGATGAGACGAACCTGCCGTACGGCTGCATGACTCCGATGCACTTCCGACGTCAAATCGGATTTATAGCTGGGTTTAGGGTTTAGGATTTGGGGTTTAGGGTTAGGGTTTAGGATTTAGGGCATCTCAGCCGTGCTGGCTAACAGGGACATAGCTGGCTCAGCTCTACAAGACCCAAAGTGTGCAAAATGCAAGCAAACTGCTCATGCAGGGCATCGCCTGAACCTTTTTTGAAAGAAACGACGAGACGGGATCTCTCGCAGCCTCAGGGTGGAGGGGCATGAAAAGCAGGCAGTGTGCTGCTGCATTGGCTGCGTACTTCTTGTCGGGAATGTGTGGTACTTTGGCGAGATGGCATGGATGCTGGGTTCTGTTATGTTCTAGACTATGTACGTCTCCCAGAAGCGCAGGCTAACAGAGGTCACACACACACACACACAAGGCAACGGCGTGAGTTCCTCAACGGGCCCCTGATTGTCCCCGCCTGACCCCCATTTCGGCACAGGTCCTGTCAGCTCGAGTGTGGCGAAGGGAAATCCAGGCACGAGCTCATCGAAACTCTGCATGCCAGTCGCTCGTGGTTGTGGCCACTCAAGGACCCAATTCCCCAATTTCAATTTGGCACAGCAGATTTGAGGCTCAAGCACGTCCAAGTCACTTTCAGGGGTCTTGCAAGGCCGCTTCCATCGCGAGCCGTCATGCGTTCTTTGAGCATGGAGACCGAGGAGACTGAGGCCTTGGTTGAGACGACTCCGGTACCTATATCCCCTTGGGATTTTTTGTTTTTGTTCACAGAATGCCCAGGAGGATATTAAAATAAGGTTCGAAGGGGAGTAAAGGTACGAAAGTCCTGGCATCTTTGGGGTCTTGGCGTTGCGGCAGCACTTGCCGTCACCGCTTTGTGCTTCGTCTTCGTGGGCGCCCAGCGTGGTGCTTTGCGCGGTTCGCCTTCCGACGTGGTTGATGAAGTGGAGCTGGGTGACGACGTCGATAAACACCAGTTGTTGCAGATCAACGGTTTCGACTTCTTCGGGCACAGGGCCGGGAAAGCCTCGTCGGCCTTGGGGAAATGCAGCACTCTCACGAAAGGTTTCGTGAAGAGGAACGAAGCCAAGTTCAAGGTATGCGGCGAACACACAAAGGTCTACCTTTTCGATGATGACAAGTGCACGGCGAGCTTCCCCATGGTGATGGGCGCATGTGGCACATCCCATCTCAAGGACTACTGCGCAACTCTTGATGATAAAGACGAGCACAGAAGGTGGATGGCCGACATAAAAAGCTTCAAGGTTGTGAAGTGCTGAGCATTCGGCCGACCTTCGGTCGATCATTCATAATTCGGAGTTCCTTCGCGAAGCTCATATTCAGCTGCCTCCTAGATGGGCCAGCTTTGTTTGATTACAACCTTTCCTGACGCAGCGCACTGCAACAGAAGCGAACCCAAAATGAGCCAACTGCGAGTGTGAGTCAGTGATAGCCAGTGTGAGTAGCAGCTTCACCCATTGCACTTTTAGGGCCATGTCTTACTGCGCACCGCCGACGTGTCTTCGCAGAAAGCTTTGAGTGCAGGTGGTGACGTGGCCAGTGCTGCTCCGCCAGATCGCAGCCACTGGTGAAGTCCGCATGCAACATGCTTGCGCATCGCGGTTGCTTGCATTGCCCGTTTGTTTCTGTGATGGCGTGCACGGATGCCTTGGTTGCGGCACAAATGTCGGTTGAACTGTTTCATTGGCGAATCAGGGATGGATGCCGAGAATGTGGCATGGCAGCGCTAGAGCAGGTTTTTAGCCAAGCCCAAACTGGGATGGTTTAGGGTTTAGGGTCTAGGGTTTAGGGTTTAGGGTTTAGGGTTTGAACCCATTTTGTGTGGACAGGGAGTGGTGCAAGTGGGGGGCCGTACCTGATCTCTGAATTAGGGCCCCTTTCTAGGTTTTTTTAGCATGGTACCCTTGTAGGAGCCAGAAAGCCCACCCTAAACCCAAATCTCTGGTGGCTCTTATACTGAAAGGCAAGTACCCTCAACCCTAACACTTACCCTATAAACCTTACCAGGACCCCCCAATTACCCTCGAAGGTACTCTGAATACCGCCATTCATGGTACTTGGGGTCCCGGAGAGCAAGGTCCAACCTTAAGATGCTCTCAGCCCATCTCAGCCCCCACAGCTGCACCAAGTTCGCCCTCGGCCGCTTGTAGGGTTTAGGGGTTTAGGGTTTAGGGTGGGCTGCATGGGCCCGGTCCGCTGGAAGCGCCTTTTGGGTTTAGGGAGATTGAGGGTTGACCTAGTGCTTGTAGAGAATTGCAGGGGAGAGGGGGCGAGGTGGTCAAAGGGTCATGAGGGTTTAGGGTTTAGGGTTTAGGGTTTAGGGTTAGAGGGTGGTTTTTTGGACTAGACCGCGTCCGCCGAAATTTTTCGAACTGCGACGGGGCCGGGGTCTGCGACAGACGTCCGGAAACTCGCCGGGATAGCTCTCAATCCTGAACCCTATCAGAGGCAGAAAAATGACCGCTGGCTCAAACGTGGAAGCCCATGCCCAAGTAGCCCCAAAGACCCACCTCAGAGCCAATCACAACAACCTAAGGCAAGGCAGGAATGGATTCGCCCTATATAACCCGCCCCTAAATCACCATCAAAGAACCCTCAAGGTTCCTTATAAGGGTCCCTGCGTTAGTCCCCCGATGATCTTCGGCCTCTTTGGGAGAGTGCCCTGTGCCCAGCGCTGCAAGCTAAAGGATCTTAAGTTTCAACGTTTGATGCTCATGAAAGTCCAATCCCCCTACTTCTATTCTGACAACTCATAATGCTTGCGGAAATGACGAACCCAAACAGTGCAGACATTTCAAGTCAAACCCTAAACCCTAAACCCTAAAGAGACATAGCATCACGGTGCACCTGCGAGTTCGGCAGAAATCCCCCGAAATCGAGTCTTCCAATGAAGTAGTAGTCATACGTTGAATATGCCGCCGCTACACCACTGCATGAACCTAGGCCTAGTAGTAGAGTAGGTAACCTTTAACAGTTTTTTTGGGGGAATATAGCCCCCCTTGTGATCCCCAAAGGCTAACCATTAGTTCCCCCAGGTTTCTGGACAACTAAGTAGGCCAAAAAGGATTGCACTAGGGGTTGGCTCACAAGATGGCTCTATGGCCCTGTGTCAGTTCTGGTTCTCGTCTAGGACCGGAGTAGGCCCTTTTTGTCACCTTGTTTTGGGTTGGGGTTCCCTATAATCCACTTATAAGGGCAGCCTTCTTATTCCTAGGTTACTTCTGGGTCTAGTCGTGGAAAAAAACTGTAAACATGACAGGCCATGCTGTCGCCTCCTTCTGCCACTCGCTCAGCTCACTCCTTTGCCGAAGGTTTTGCTTGCATTGAGCTGAGTACCCCTATAAAACCCTAAACGCTAGGGAGCACATCCTTGGATGTGGGGAACAGGTTTGGGCCTTGGACTGGATCGAACACTGGAAACCAAGGGGCCGGCAGGCTTCCCTGAAATACCCTGTATTCCCTCATTCCCTACAGCGAACCAGGGAAGCCCAGCAGTCGGTCTTGATGCAACAGCAACTTTCTGAAGGGGAGCTACGGTGACAGCTGCAAGGTGAGCCTTGATTGACTCCAACATTGTTCTTTCTTCCCCCCATCCCTCACCCCGCCTCCTGCCGCAACACTCTTAGGGTTTAGGGTTTAGGGTTTAGGGTTTAGGGTGTTGTTTCGATCCGTGGGATCCGGTATCCAGTAGGCCTGAATTATGCAAGTTGTCTTTGCTCAGATCAGGGGCGTTTAGGGTTTAGGGTTGAGTGAGGTCCACGATTTCCTGACCATTCCCGGCCGACTCCCCAAGCCCGGATGCAAAAGGGTTGAGTGAGGGGATTCAACTGAAGCCTGTTCAGGTCAGTTGCTGTTCTTGGATACCTTGGCAGTCGACAGTCAGCGTGGTCTGGGTGCCACAGACCGTGTTACACTTTTTCCCCCCGAACCAACACGAAGCCGAACTGAGTTCGACTCTTAGACATATGTCT